AAAATGACACATGGCATTTGTCCATTACATCATCGTCTATAAAAACAAAAGGCTAGAAAAATCTCAAGTGTCAAAAGAAAAGGAACCCATAGGGGTGGGCATGGTGGCACATGTCTTTAATCCTGTCCCTCAAGAGGCAGAGGCAGGTGGATCTCTGTGAGTTTGAGGCCAGCCTGGTCTGCAGAGTGAGTCCTGGGACAGCCAGGGGTATGTAAAGAGCCCATCTTTTAAAAAAGGGGATAGAACCCAATGAATAAATGAAAGCACAACTATATAATATACTATCAGACAATCATAAAAAGTAAGTAATAAGTAGATCTGGGGATATAGCTCATTTGGAAGAGTGTTTGCCTGCATGCAGAAGGATCTGGGTTCAATCACCAGCAGAAATGAAAATAAATGTAAACACAGTTCAGAATTACAGAGAACGAGTGTGTGTTGTATTTCCGGCAAGGGAAGAGGGAAAATAAGAACTTTCTTTTTCCAACAGGCTTGTTATATAGCTCAGGCTCTCCTCAAACTTATAATCTTCTTCGCTTCAGCCTTCCTAGAGACAAGATTATAGGCATGCACCACTGTGCCTGGCTAGAACATACACTTAGGTTTTTATTTTTGTAGAGAAATCATGGAAGAATATACTAGAATGAAATACAGTCATTTCCTGAGATTGGAACTATGAGAGGGTCGAGACAGATTGGAATAAGACTTACATAGCTTTTGGATATTTAAAACTATGTGGTGTACAGGGTGTGGTGGTGCCTACCTCTAATCCCAGCACTTGAGTGACAGAAGCAGGCAGATTTCTGTAAATTTGAGGAGAGTCTGGACTGCATATGAGTTCTAGGTTAGTCAGGGATACATAGTAACACGTGTGTGTGTGTGTGTGTGTGTGTGTGTGTGTGTGTGTGTGTGTGTTCACATATACATTCACATGTAGATACTATGTAATGCCAAATGCCAGGTGTAAACCCCAGCATTTGGGGAAGGGAGAAGGAGATAAATCAAGAGCTCAAGGCCAGCCTAGGTTACATGAGAACCTGTCTCTAAATTAACAAATTAGTTTTGTAAACTATGACAGATTACTCTTTTCAATGTTTGAGATCAAAACATTGAATGTGAAGTATGTTTCTTTTCTTTGTATAGCACAAGTTGTGAATGACCTCACCCGCAACCGGTTTTTTGAAAATCCTGCCTTAAAAGAACTTCTGTTCTACAGCATCCATGATGCAGTCTTAGGCAGCCAAGTCCGAGAGGCAATGGCTGAACGAGAAACCTCTGCTCCAGCT